ATGAGGAATATAGACGCGTACCTCAAAGTCACCAACCAGGCTATCCCTTATGTATCGCATGCGTTCTCCTGTGTGAATCGGATTGTCCTAGTTGCTTGAAGCGATTGTGATATAGGCCTGCCAATGTAGCGCAAAAAAGATAGAAACGAAAGAAAAGCGTATTAAATAAAAAACAAAGAAAAATATGTAGGTGTCAATCGGAAGTTGAGGGGGGCCTCCTGCGTACCTTTTCTTTCGAGACAAAGTACTCTCTGTGATTCCTATTGGTTTGACTGTCCAAGGTGATGGTTAGTATCGTTTTGTCTGGAGGATCCACTATCAGATTACTATCTAGGAGATTCGATTTAGTGTGGCTCGAACTCCAGATCATCACACACGGTCTTTATCGATGGAGTCTGTTATGCTATTCCCGAGTGCTGTATCTTTGCATTCTTCCCATGAGAATCTTCTAGAAGCTTGTGCACCATGCATTTTCAAGTCCAAGTGTTCGTTACTTGGGAGTAGATCTTATGTGTTTCCAAGGTTGAGGCTAGCGAATAGGAATATCCCTGAAATGTTCCTTTGCTTGCGTATCCTTCCACTCCAGTATTATATGTTTGTCCTGTCTTGCTTCTTGTTCTATTCGTCAGTGACTTGGTTAGTGATGGGTAGTAGGTTCAGGCCTTTAGTGAAAGGTGAGTTTGGTTAAATTATGTGTGAATGGTTTGTTTCTTAGCATTGAACGTTTACACTTTAATGTTCGGTTTGGTATACGAGAGATTGAGGGGCGATTAGGGTTGGGTTTGCATCGTTTTATCCACTGGCTTATTTATTGCTTACTCTCATAGGCTATATAATCTTTTTACACATCCTTGGTCCAGGTAATTCTTCTGCGTTGTGTTTATTGCTCCGCTGCTTATAGATCGAGTTGATCTTTCCTTCCTGACAATGTCCGTCGAACAAAAGGGGGGAAAGGGCGAAGACAGAATATGGTTGAACGAGAAATTTTTGCCTAGATGTCTGATGCATCTTGTTTATCTAGTCATATTATTCAATATCTCATGTTCAAGATAATCTTCTCAGATTTGTCTAGTTGCCTTTTTAAGGTAATACTCTTGTTCACTAATCATTGTTTTCGCCGAAGAATCATGACCCTTGAGACACAAGCAATGCGTTTGTCTTTTTAGCGGGTGGTAATGGATAGGTGTTACGGTGAGTCTAGAATGATTTCATGTAGTTTATGTGAGAGTTTTGCATGCAGAATTGAGCAACGTAGTGGTGTTAAAGAGATTGTTAGTTTTTGGTAATTGGCAATCTCGTTTGACAAAACTCCTTTCGTTGTAATTTATTTCGTGATTCTTTTATCTTCAGTGAGGCCTTAAGTATTGGATGTGAATCCAACCCAAATTGTGCCTATTGCAGAGGAGTTTTGATCTTTAAATCTTTCGATATTTGCCACTTTCACTGACTACGTGTTAAGGATCGAGTTACCGGTATAGCTCGGCAGGGTCCAGGGGCAGCGGCTTACTCTTAATCATTAGCTAGTAACCAAGTTGCCGAGTTGAAGCTAGCAAGACTCTCATTTAAGACTGTAAGTGCCTGATCGTGGCAATAAAAAAGGACCTCATCTAGTATTTTTGTAAGGCGCCTGAACTTCTGGGAAAAAGTTTACCACTCAAGCGGTGAAACTCAATGTCAATTATATGTTTCGCGCCGCCTTTATTACACCGCTTTGATGGCGAAAAGTGCCGGTCGGAGATATGGAATGTTGGTCGAATAGATGTCAATTCCTGTTTGCTATAGGAGTGTGTTTGTTCGATGTTTCCAGTGTTTGGGCCATCCAGAGAATTTTCAGAGAGCAACGAAGATACAATGTTTTTATATAGAGGGTGCTTTTTGTGTGTTTCCTTGATGATTTAAGAGTGATCAATGGGTCTGTGAAACATCATACAACATCATCGAAGGTTTGTTTGATTTTATTTATTCCAAAAGAGGAGAGTTGTTCCTTTGTGGGATTCTTGGAAAACTTGGCCTGAACTTTGGTGGATTCCGGAGTGGCTCATCGTCATGGATTCACATCACCGTTGTTGATTCAACGTTGGGGCAAGACAATTCCAAGTGAAGACGGTGGTGGAAGAGGCACATTGGGGTTGGTCAATTTGAGTGGGGATTACTAGGTAATTGAGATACACTTGTGTAATTTCTTTTTGCCTTCTTAGTGGATTGTTTTGTGGCTTTGGCTCGTGATTTTTTATCACAATGGAGGCGCTCCAATTGATGGTTTGCACATTAAATCGTTGTGTCGATTTATTTTTATTGGTTTGATTGAGATTGTTATTTACTGGTTATAATTGATACATAATCACAAATCAATATCTCGGAGATTTTTAGATTTTTCACATACCATACACCCTGTGAAACAGTGTTGTTAGTGTTACTATTATTGTTGCTTTTTTTAATTATAGTTTTGTAATTATTGTTGTTACAAACAAAATGTTTGTTTGATGAGAGTTTTATACATATTGATATGTTTATTTACTAGATATTATCTTTGTTTAAGTTAATGGTGGAACAATATGCATGTTTATGTTACAAAAAATCATGAGCAGATTAATATTGAAATAAAAATGTTATGTGATTTTTCTTTGTGAACATATTATGTGAAACCGTGGTTCCAAATTGAGCCGAACCATGTTTAAATGGATTGGTTCAAATTGATTCCATAATTTAAATGGATGAGTTTGATTTCAATTTTTATGCAATCGTAGGCAACAAATTGGTCTTGGTTTTACCCCAAATCGAACCATGCTCTCCCCTAATTCAGGCCATTTAAAATAGACCAGCATAATTTTTTCACACAAGTCTACCAATCATGACTTGTGATGGAAGAGGAAATCAAGTAATTCAAAAAGAAAAAGAAAACAAAGCACAAACAAAAAGCAAATCTTCCACAAGCATGATCAAATTCAACATCGATTCACTCCACCTAACCACCGTACACCTTAGCTGGCCCAAAACACAACTGAAAATCAGCACAAAGGAAGCAAAAAAATGACGATCTAAATAGAAAAAAACTATTGGAACATTTTCATAATATATGTATATATTAAATACATAATTTAGTTATATAAATTATTATAGAGATGTGACTTTTAGGTTAACCACTAGATTTAAACCAAGGGGGTGTGATATTTTGTAGCACTCTGAGCTTTTCCACTTTGCTCAAGCGAAGGTTGTTCACTCGAGCGGTCTTTTGAATCGTCTAATACTTTGTCTGTAGTCCAAGATTCTTAGAGGTGGTGATGTTCGCTCAAGCGCAAGTTGGTCCTCTCGAGCGGTCTGTTTCTTGTATGGTCCCAGATTCTGGGAGTTTGAGTTCTACGCTCGAGTGGTCTTGTGTCTCTAATGTTTGAGCGCTTGTTTCACCAGTTGAGTTGTCTATTCGGGATGTGATCTTTAAAAAATCACTTTTGGTCAAATCTTTTACACTTTTCTCTCTATCTTCTCTCTCTTTTTTCCATTTTCGAAAATCCTAAACTTTCAAGCTTAGATTTCATCTACATTCACTAAGAATCTCACCCTAGTTTCATATACCAAAATGTAGAGCACGGCGGGAGCTTTCTTTTAATCCAAGCAGATTGTGTTTTCATCGAAGTTGGATTTTCAGGCTTTCTTCTCTTCTTGCTTGATGGAGGGATTTCTTTGTTTCTCCTCAATAATTTCGTATAGATAGATGGGCCGTATTTTCCTATTGCATAAAACATCACATTAGAAGAGATTTTCTTGAAAAGCATATAGAGGAAAGTTAGGGTTTTGAAATAAAGAAGTTAAACTTATGGTTTGTAGTAGATCATGGAAGTTTTGAGCCATTGGAACATGTTTATGTGTTTGTTTGGTGCAGCTTAAAAGCTGCTTATTTCAGCTTTCAGCTTAATTTAAGCTATTTTGATGTGTTTGGTTTAGCTTAACAATGCAGCTTATAGCTTTTTGTAAGTCAGAAATCAGCTTATTCTTTGAGTGTGGCAGGAGAAGCTTAATTTATAAGTTAGAAATCAGCTTATATTCATAGTTATAAACTATAAGCTGTTAAGGCATAAGCTATAAGCACTTTCCCACAACTCTACCAAACAGGGCTTATGTATGGTTTGATTTTTAAACCAACGTAAGAAATGACTTATCAAAAGATTTTTAGGCTATGTATGGTTTGATTTTTAATTTTTTTTTAAAAAAATTAAAAATTAATTTGGTTAAGAAATAAAAAATAATTATCATTTAAGTGTAAAAAATAATTATCATTTTAACTTTTGGACAGGTTATATACATACGTATGTATGGTTGTTTCAATTTAATTTGTAAAAAATTATTTCTAAAATTATATAAAAATGATTTATATTTACAAAAATTATATAATTGATTATTATTTGCTATTATAAATTATTATTATATATATTTAATATTAGTCTCAATTTTATAAAATAAAATTTATTTATATTATAAATTATATATTAAAATAATATTAGTCTCAATTTTATTACAAATTATATATGTGTGTCATAGTGTGAGAGAGAGAGAGAATTTGTCAGAATGAAAGCTGTGAGCGTGATTTTGTGTTGAAAACGTACTTTCAAAACACGTTTTTACATTTTGCCTAAAAGCGTGGTTCATAACCACGTTTTCAGAAGAAAAAAAAAAATTTCAGTTAAAAGCGTGGTTCACAATCACGCTTTCAGAAAAAAAAAAAATTAAAAGCGTGGTTTGTAATCACACTTTTTTAATTAAAAGCATGATTATAATCACGTTTTTAAAATTTCCTAATTTTCACACGGGACAAGCACACAAACGTTAAAAACATAATTATAAACCACGTTTTAACCTATTTTAATAATTATTTCAAAACTAGGCTTATTTAGGAAAATGCCCTCCGATCTTAATCGAATCCCATCACTTGGGACGGATGACATACGTGGCCTCTGGCCAAACCCTGGAACCAAACGGGCTGCTATAGTTTTAACGGCACAATCATCTTACTGTGCACACAAGGTTAGTGTTGTGTAACTAAAAAGAAGTGTGAAGAATCATTCCAGAGAGAATTTGCGAGGAGCATAGATGGAGAAAGGTCAACCCCATTCCCATCCCCATCGAAGAAGGTAGAGCAAGAACAATAAGCACCCACTCCTCTTCTTCTTCTTCTTCTTCTTCTTCTTCTTCTTCATCATCATCGCCTTTCCTTTCGAACAAATTCCAAACCAATCCCATGAGAAATGCCACGAATTCAAACCCTAACCCTATTAACAACCATGATTACTCTAAGAGGAACACACAACAACTACAAGAAGAGGGAGAAGAAGATCTCCTTCTATCCCCAACATCTATAGTTGGAACTTGCCCTTTTATGTGCCCTGGTTGGTATCTTCTATGTTTTTATCAATTGCACATGTTATATTCATTCATTTATCATTTTCTTTGTTATTGTTTAGTATTATTTTTGAATGGCAGAGCCTAATTGCCTTGAGAAACTCTGCTGAATTATATCAGTGTTTGTGTTATTGTACACCATCAGGTTTTAGTAACTTAGTGTTTTGTGGAGACTGACTGTTGTATGTGTACATGAGTCATATTTTGGGTCAAAGTTATGTTATTCGGTCTTCAATAGCTTGAGTCAAAGTTTCCTATTTTTAGGTATTAGTTATAGTAAAGAGAATTGAAGCAGCCTATAAATGCCAATGCATGGACACAGACAGAGATATGGCAATATATATATATATATTTGCTGTGTATTTGAATATGAAAATTGGGTATAGAGATGTCAGTGTACATGTGGGTGTATTTATATTTTTTCCCACCGTCTCTCCTCTTTGTTACCGTATATTTTACTTCAAACCCCAATTGGCATTCTAAAATTGTTAAAAATAGCCCACAAAGTTTTCATGAGGCATGTCCAAACACAAGACTGTCATGACCCTATCCACCCCAAACAAAGATAAGGTAGTGACCGGCCACTAGCCATAGGCTATCAAAGACCTAACTAAACAATTCTATAGTACTCCTGAAGACAATTGGGGTAAAATCATTATAAATAGCTGAAGTCTTTAAAATTCTTTAACCGGTATAATCTCACGACATCCAAACCAAACCAAACCAAACCAAACCAAGCCTTAAGTCCCATCAAATGGGGTCGGCTACATGAATCCTTCTTCTTTACGCAGCCCTATCAAAGGCCATTTCATTAGTCAAATTAAGTAGATTCATATCTCTATTTATAATGCTAGTCAACGTTAATCTAGGCCTACCCCGTCTCCTAACACTTCCATCTATCGTTACAGTATCGCATCTCTTCACTACTGCCTCTGTTGGTCTCCGTTGAATATGACCAAACCATCTCAAACGATTCTCTCTCAACTTATCTTCTATCGGTGCTACTCCTACCCATTCCCGAATACACTCATTCCTAATCCTGTTCTGTCTAGTCTTACCACACATCCACCTTAGCATTCTCATCTCAGCCACACTCATCTTATCTACATGTTGTTTCTTGGTTGCCCAACACTCCGTCCCATACAACATGGCTGGTCTAATAGCCGTTCTATAGAACTTACCTTTTAGTCTAGTGGGTATTCGTTTATCGCACAATACCCCAGACGCACTTCTCCATTTACACCATCCTGCCTTAATCCTATGGGCCACATCTGCATCAATCTCTCCCGCTGTTGTGATAATCGACCCTAAATAACGAAAATGTTCACTCTTAGGCAGTTCTTGGTTCTCAATCTTCACTTCTCACGACATCCATTCATTAAAATTCTTTAACCGGTAAAATTCTTTAAAATTCTTTAACCGGTATAATCTCACGACATCCACACAAACTATTGCTTTATTTATTATTACAACTTTCACTTCACAACGGAGTACAACTTGAAACAAAGCTACTGTACATCTCAGTTGCCAAACTAACTATACACAGAGTCATTACAAAATGTTTCTCTCAAAGAGAAGGCACAACATGTAGGTCCTTTACGTCACACACACACACACACACACACACAAAGCTGGCACAATCTTCGTTCACTTTTGTCACCCACATATATATAGGGAGGAGGGGTGAGCCAAAGCCTAATGAATAGCATTTAATCAAAGGTGTAAAATAATGGATATCAACATTTGTACAATAAAAAGTACAATTGAACTGAGAGTTTAAGCAGTTTGAGTACAAAATAGTCATATACATTTCATTTCAAAACAATGATAATGAACTCCATGTACATTCCATGTACTTTGGCTTAGTTCTGCTTATCCTAAATCCTTTAGATTCAAGTGTTTCTCTCCAAGGCTCAACTTAGTGTTAATTCTTTCTCTAGTCTTATCTACTAACACGATATCATCTGCAAAAAGCATATACTATGGCATATCATCCTGAATATTTCTCGTCAACTCATTCATAATTAAAGCAAAAAGATAAGGACTTATTTCTCCAGGTTGATCCTTGGTGTAACCATACAGTAATTGGAAATTCGCTTGTTTCTTCAGCAGGTGATCTAATAGTGGTCATTATACCTTTGTACATATCTCTAATCACATCAATGTAACATTTTGTCAATCCTTTCATCTCTAGTACCCACGAGATTATATCCCGAGGCACTCAATCATATGCTTTCTCAAGATCGATAAAAGCCAAATGAATGTCTCTTTTCTTTTCTCTATACTTTTCTATTACTCTTCTCAAAAGGTAGATTGCTTCCATTGTTGACCTACCAGGCATAAATCCAAATTGATTCTCTGACACCTCTGTTATATGTGATTGAAACAATTTTAGTGCAATTAAGTTGTGCTGGCAGTGCTGACACCATTTAGTAAAGCAGTCATATCTCCTACTGCAAAACTCAAAGTCAAGTTCCGTTTGATACGTTAGAAATTAGACTTGTATATGTTTTCAATGATATAAGCCATATAAATTATTTATTTCTTGATTAATACATATTTTCAATCAAAGTTGGTCCAAAATTGCCACCTGTGCACTAATTTCCAACAAAGATAAGTCATTTTTAAATGGGTATAACTCTTTCATACAAACTTGGATTTGGAGAAAATTAGTCTAAATTGTAGACCCATAATTCTAGTTTCTAATGTTAGTAATCTCACGCCAGAATTCCACATATTTTAGGAGATATGGTAAGAAGAATACAACCTGTCAGATTATACTTCTCAAATATCACAAGCTTAAATTCAATTCATACAAGTGTGGAAACATAAGTTCTTTGGCTCTTCCCTAAAAATATCATCTCTAAACAAAATTAATTGATTAAAAGGTTATAGTTGGGTATAAGAATATGAATATTACCTCAATTCAAGCTAAGAACAAATCTAGGTCCACGATTCAAGCTTTCCCACTTTCTTCCTCTTCTTCTCCTCTTTTCACCCTTCTTTTCTTTCTTTTCCAGCTGATTTTCTCTCTCTTCTTCTATTTTCTTTTGTTTTATATGCAAGAGAGACACTAGTCTCTGATATTTATGTGTATATCTCTTACAAGTTGGAGGTGGCATGTCCTTAAGTGAGGTGTGTGTGTACTTGTCTCTATCACTAAATTAATCAAGATTAACACTAATTGAGCGATGTAAGTACTAATTAATGAAATTCAGGCCACTAATCATACTTAACTTAATTAATCACGTTTAAGGTTAATTAATCTTGATTAATTACATTAATCATGCTTAATTACTACTAATTCCAATTAAGTTTTCACATAATATATGAAAATGTCTAGTACAATAGACTAATACAACTAAGCACCTTGATTAAGGATTCAAGAGTACACATGAGCATACTAGGTTCAAAAAGGAAACTTTCTAGATTTCATACCCTTAAACTTCTATTTATTTCCTACCAAAGCATATTTCAAAGTATTTCAAAATATCAAAGGTACTAATGCAACTCAAAGCACTTAAACATAGAACAAACCATGCATATGTCATGCAAGAACATGAGAGGTGTTACATCTTGCCCGTGAAGTATCCCCAACGTGTCTTGGAAAAAATAAAAAAATAAAAATTGACATGCCATGTGGTGAGTCCAACACGTGGACACATGTGTTAGTGGTGTTTCGGTGTCCTACACTGATACATCACCCATTTCGAAGTATCCATGCTCCCTAAAATGTAATCCTTTTTATGGGACACAAATGAGTTTTTAGGATGTGAGATAGTGCTTGTGTAATGTAGCTTGAGCCTTGGGAAGATGAAGTGTACGAAATTGTAGGACTGTGTCCTAGATTCTTTTTTTTGCTTGTACTTCTACTTCTAGAATGTGAGATATTGTGTGTGTGTAATGTAGCTTAAACCTTCGAAAGATGAACTATAAAAAATTCTAGACTGAGTCCTAGATTCTTCTTATGCTTCTACTTTTACTTCTTACTTTCCTCCTTTTTCTTTGTTGACTTTCAATGCTTTCAGTACTTGTGAGCTAATCTTAAAAATAATCATTATTTTCCTACTCCAACAATGATAATTGATAAGCCTATGTTTATTCCTTCTCATCTAATAAGAAGCTCAAACATTTCTATGAAGGTACTGTAACCATATTGAATACCTGATAGGTGTTGGACAATTCTTGACATGTGTTAGAGATGCATCAATTTATTTTTTATTTATTTATTTTTTCTTTTCTTTTCTTTTCTAGAACTGTACATTTTTGGGCAATTGGGTGACACATGTCCATCACTTAGACATATAGGAAATATATTGCCTTCTAGAAGAAAATTAATTAGGATCCAATGACAAAGATAAAAACAATATGTATACTCATCTTTTAATCCGTCATCCTTCGAACTTTTTAACAAAGGAATTCAAAAGTTCAAATGTTCCACTTTGTTTATGAATAGGGCTTTCTAGAAAAAAATATTAAGACTTGTTCACACTTTGTTTCTAATACATAGAATGTGGAAAATGATTTTTTAGTTTGATACATATAATATAATATAAATGTATTTGTAATGTAAAATATGAAGAAATAGTTATTATTTTCATGTATCTATATATAGACACACACACACACACACACATTTATGTGTTTTTTAATTTTAAATTAATTTTTAAATTTGTCATGTTGAAGTGTGCATTTCATATCATATCCCATGTCTGTATCTCCTTCCTAGCTTTAGTAAAAAAAACTCAAAATCAATGAAGTATTTGTTAATGATATACTCTTTATAGCTTCGAAAGAACTTCTACTTTATCCCCAAAGCTTAGTGCATGAAAAATAGAGGAACAAGTTTGTTTCCATGGCATAGTATGACAACTCAAAACAAGTTCATTCAAAAGCTTGATATAACAACTTTGCAGTTAAAACATTTCTCCAATATGAAAAATTATATAGCAATGAAAAGTGTATCACAAGAATCATAGGATAATCA